TACGCACAGGGCAAAGGATCTTGATCTTATTAAGGGATTTATGGTGGGAAGAGATCCTGCCCATTAGATGGAGATCTCTCATTTACTTTTTGCGGACAACACCCTGGTTTTCTATAATACTGATGTGTCTCAACTTAGATATTTGAGGTGCATTTTGGCCTGTTTTCAGGTTGTTTCTGATCTGAAGGTCAATGTGGCTAAAAGCGTGCTTGTTCTGGTTGGGGATGTTCAGGATATCTCTTCTTTAGTTGTAGTCCTTGGGTGTAGGGTGAGTTCTTTTCCTATTCAGTATTTGGGTTTGCCTTTAGGGGTTTCCTCTAGAACTGTGGGAAGTTGGGACCCTGTGATTGATAGATATGCAAAGAGATTGGCAGGATGGAAAAAGCAATATTTGTCTAAAGGGGGGAAGATAACGCTCATAAAGAGCACTTTATTGAGCCTTCCCACATATTTTTTATCTATGTTCCAAATTCCATGCTCGGTTGCTGATAGGATTGAAAAAATTCAAAGGGTTTTCCTTTGGGGCGAAAGGGGAGAAGAGTTTAAGTATCATCTTGTCAATTGGGAACAAGTTTGCAAGCCTTTGAAGTTTGGTGGTCTTGGTATCAGAAGACTGGTTCCCTTTAATCAAGCTCTCTTGGGTAAATGGCTGTGGAGGTACGGGAAAGGAAGACATCACCCATAGCGAAGGCTTGTATCATGTCGGTATGGGGAAGAGAGTGGAGGTTGGTCTACTCGTCCGGTTTCTCTCGTGGGAGGAGTAATGGCGTGGAAATCCATTCGGAAGGGATGGTATGCTTTCTCTTCTCACATCAGATTCAGAGTTCGTGATGGCAGATGCGTTCGCTTTTGAGGGAATCTTTGGTGTGGTGACCGGCCTTTATCTAGTTCATTTCCCAGTTTATACAGTATTGCAGTTGATAGACATGCCTACGTAGCCAACTATTATAGACTTGATAGTAGTGAGGTTACGTGGGATGTGCACTTTCGACATTCTTTTCAGGATTGGGAGTTGGACAAGGTATGTGTTTTTATGGATTTGTTGTATCGATAGGAGGTAGGGGGCAGTTGGCAGAGGAAGTGCTGATCTGACATGGATTCCCTCCTCCCATGGTCGCTTTGAAGTTCGATCCTTATTCTTATGTCTTTCTAATTTTGATATCGTTGATTTTCCGTGGAAGACCATCTGGCGCTCTATGGCTCCAACTAGGGTGGCATTCTTTGTATGAACCGCTATATGGGGTAAGATCCTGACGATTGATAATCTAAGGAAAAGAGGCAACTGTTTAGTTAACTGGTGTTACCTATGCAAACAAGATGGTGAGTCAATTGATCATGTTCTCATGCATTGTCCTGTGGCAAGAGACTGTCGGAATCTTATCTTTGGCCTGTTTGGTATGCGTTGGGTTATGCCTCGTTATCCTAAGGATTTGTTCCACTTTTGTATAAGGGATGCGTTCCCCTCTCGAACGCCTTTTTTTATTCAATTTTTACTTATAAAAAAAAAATGTGTTTGGGCACATTTGATTATAGGATACAGATTCACATGTGATTTTATTGTATAACTACAATTTATAAGACTTCTGATAACAGCCTAAAATTGCATTATTATTATAGTATTAGTAGGTATTATTGCATTTATATTCCATTAATTTCCATATTTTATATATAAATATAAGAAACTCCCAATTTTCCATTGTAAATATTTTCTTGGTTAAAAATAGCATGTTAATGTTATCTATCAAAAAAATATAGCATGTTAATGCATAAAAACATATAATTTTATTTTTCATCCTACTATTTATTATTAAATATTTTCTTTTTCAGAAAATTGGAGCATCGATCGAAGAATCCAGAGCTTTGATAGATCGAAAGTGCATTAATATCGATCGACCGAAAGGAATATGCAAGACCGGGCCCACATGAAGATCCAATGGTCAAGATCATTCAAGGAGAATTCTAGAAGACTTTTAAAAGAGTTTCCAGCAAGCAAAAATCGTTTTGGTCATTACATGAAGAAAGGAAGCTTTTATATTTAAATAAGGAAACAACTTGAGCAGAAAGTTCTGGATCCGCTTCAGTGTTTTGGTCATAACTTTTGACTCGAAACTCGGAATTGAGTAAACTCAGCGACCAAGACTCGAAGCCCGTCATTTTTGTGTCTAATAGAATTTTCGTGATTCGCACTCCAAACAGGTCAAAACAGGGCTACAAACTGACTAAACATCCATATAGAGGGAACCGTCCAGAATATCATACACACTTTATCTTCATTATTTTTCAATTTTATATTTACATTATGAGTTGCTAAAACTTTTTACCAAGGTTAGGAGTGAAGCCACAACATTGATATGGTGTTTGCTTAACGATTATTTAGGGTTTTAATGTAATTTTTCTTTGAATTGATTCTACTATTTTGGAAAAATATTTATTTTGCATAATTCTCTGATTCATCCTTGACTCTAGGCATGGTGAATGCTTAGTATAATTCTTTGATTTATCGTCGACTATGAGTACGGTGAATACTTTGGATTCCATACGGATTAAATTACTAGTTTTTTCAAGTTTATGAATCAATCAATTTTATGAAATCATCTTTTGAGAAATATTTTGGATAAAATACATATCTTCCGATTGGGATCATTCTTCATATGAATCTCAATTGAGTTATAAAATAAAATCGTTAGCAAATACTATGGATGTGTGTGTGTGTGAATCTCTGAAACCTTAGTGTTTTCCAACTATAATTTTTTACCTAAATCAATTCTCTGTTACCAAACAAACAAATATTCAAAAAAAAATTTAATTAATTTTTATTTTCTTTTACTTCATCAAAAATTATTGCTTTCCCCATTCCCTGTGGTTCTGCGACATCCTGCACTTGATAGGAATATAAAAACTTCTTGAATCACAATGAAATAATATAATTAATCTAATTGCGTCACTGCTAGATATATGGTGATTATTGTCGATTAGTTAGAACGTTGCTTATTGGGCTTCCCCATGCTCACCCTCCTCTTTCCTACCATTTCAAGCACACATTGATTTGGCACATGGCGGAGGTTGATGAATTGGATTCAGTTTGGAGTAATGATCTATTATTTCACGCACCATAATTAGGAATGGGATAAGATGTCTTTGTATTCAAATGAGGGCAGGACAGATATTATGCCTTGAGAGAGAGAGATAGAGAGAGAGAGAGAGAGGAATGGCAGAAGACGCAGAAACTATCATCCCAAATGACACTGTATATTAATGGAAGTGAGATATTTTGGCTATTTATGATATTGGACCTGTTCTTCAACTTTTGAGAACATTTTCCCTCTCAAATAATTAACCATTGTTTACAAAGAGAGTAAATTTGGCCTATTCAACTGAGATTCATAAGTTGTTCCCTGAATTCGACAAGTTGTCTAATGACATGCAGCAATTTTCTGAACTTACATTCTCTAATCCCTGCCCAGGAAACTGTGTCATCTTAAAGAGGAACCTGAATCCTCAAAATAATATTAAAAATGGCACTACTCAATTATGTAACCTACTCTAAAGTCGTACAGAGTGAGAACGGGAGCAAAAATGAGAGGAGCGGGAGCGTCAGAATGGCAAAACTAGAAATTTGTTTAGAGCAGAAGCATTAACAGGGCATGGATCTTACAATATTTATATATATGTATTAAATTACGATAAATATTATGTCATAATATCTAAATTTCATTACACTTATCAAAATATATATATATATATATATATATGTAAATTTCATTACTAATTAAGGAATTAAATTATAGAACATTTATGTATATTTGGACTTTTAGATAATACAATAAAGAAATGACTTGAAGTGCTTCTAGTTACACCATGGTCAGAGGTTCGAGCCTTATGGTTGCAATCCAAAAAGCAGTTTTTAATGTCTGCTTATATCAACATACGCTTCTCTCCTTTCCACTAGAACTACTAAACTCTCAAGTGGTCAAACTTTGATGGGGTGATGATCTGGCACTTTTAACTCCTTAAACTGTAAGGAATAGTTTTTGAAACTAGGAGAACATCCAGGATCCACGCTTCCAAAAAGTCAACCCGCACTCTTAAAATATCCTATTTTTGAATGCATCACGGATCCACTTCCAATTTATCAAAACGCAATCTGGGCGCTCCAGCGCCCATGTTGGGCGAATTATGTGACTTAGATCCTCGTCTATACAAGGTGTTGGAAGGGGTACTTCTCAAACAGAAATTTTTCCATCTAATCCATTTGGTAAGCGTATTCAATTCACAATGAACAGAAACCCATGAATGAAGAGACCCATGAATAACCAGGTTTGTTCGACGAACTCACTGATCAAGAGAGAGAGAAAGACTTTTACTACTTTATGTGTAATGTACCTTACTTTATACATTATGTGTAATGTAACATAGTAATTAATTATCTTCTTTTTTTTCAATTGGGAGAGATGGCTGAGTGGACTAAAGCGTCGGATTGCTAATCCGTTGTACGAGTAATTCGTACCGAAGGTTCGAATCCCTCTCTTTCAGTTGATGACTTGATATTTGCTTTATCTTTCAAATTTCCCCAACCCTTGGTTAAACGTGGAATAGATAAAATCCTAATAAATTTGAAAAATCAAGGAAGAGTAAAGAAAACATATATTCCATTTATATTTAAATTGGTTCCAGCAACATTCCTATGCACGCTGAAACTTGTGAGATTCAAGTCAAACACCAAAACTGAAATTAACAGTAAGGAAACAATAATTCCATCATCGGTGATGTTTTAAGAAATTTTGAAACTTCATGTCAGAGCAAGCAGAACTAAAAAAAATTCCAAACACAAATCAAAATGGTATCACATTTAAAAGGAAAAAATAATTATATATATATATAAAGAGACTACTTTCTATCATGCATAATACCATATTCTATTAACATCAATCAAATGCATAAGTATGCCAAAAGAGAAAGAGAGAGAGAGAGAATTTGAAAAAATCAAAATGAATCCACACCTGTGTCAAATACTTGAATGCATCTACAACCGGAGTAATCATATCTCTGTACGCCTCTATCTACACATCACATTCTCAGAACATTAAGTTTTCTTGTGCACAAAACGAAAGAATAAATAAATAAACTAAGAATAAAAATCAAGGGTTCTAGAAATTTAAATACCCTGATAAATGAAATACCTGATGGACAATCGTCCGAAGAACAGTCATTGGATTGGCATGAGCTAGTTTTGCAACCATTCGACCCAGCTGCTTCAGATTTTCTTTAGCTAGCCTTTTCAAGATCCTTCTAGTGTCTAACTGCAAAAGAACGTGGCAAAGAAAATTTTAATCCTCGGGCACAGAACTGGCAAAAGTCAACAGTAAAACAAATTCTATAACATTTATACACCTTTGCTGTTTGCCTTGCAGCCAAAACCATTGGAATGCGCTCATCATCTTTTTCCCATTCACCATATAAACGATAGCGCACCTAAGAAAACGTCATTTAGCTAGCATTATTTTTTTACCCTATCCGATAATATCTTAAATGGATGTATCAAAAAGCTCTGTTGTAAAGCCAACCTCATATGGAAGGAGATTCATCACTTCCCAAATCTCCTGCCCAACTGCCGGATTTGCAGGTATTAACTGTAAAGAAGGAAGTAGACATGTTCCTAGAGCTTCCTCAATCCTTAACCTAACTTCTTTTAGGTGCAGACGAGGATTTCGATTTCCACCAATGTCACTGTCAGGACTAAAAGCTCCTTCACCCACATTGACAAGCTCAAATGCAGAAATGTAGTAGCCACGTAATACTCTACAAATCTGCTCAGGGATAAACCACAAAAAACCAATCTTTGTGAGCACAAAATAGAACCATGACTCGGGGAAAAGGAATCAGCTCATTAAAGGAACAGAAACCAACACAATGCACCTTCTGCAGCAATGAAGTGTCACGATAAAGATAAGGTCCAGCAGATGTAAGCATCTCAAAAAGCTCTTTGGGAAGATCAATAAAAGATCTATGAACTAATGAATTTGATGGCTCCATCGAATCACTACCAGCTCCCGGAGGATATAGATGTGTTTGACGAACAAGTTTATAAGCTGAAGAGATTGCTTTTCCAATGAGCCTGTACGTAAAGAAAACAAGATCGAAAGAAATAGAACTTGTTAAACCTCCGTACCTGTTCTAAAGATGTAGAATGGAACTTCAATAGCAGAAGAAGCTCAGGAGTTTTAAGATTGACTACTAAGATTGCACACAAACCTAACTTACAGAACATAGACAGAGGCAGAGACAGGAACAACTTATACATTGATACTAATTTAATATAACAAATAATTTAAATTCAAGATATACTTAAGATTCACCTGAACAATCCATCACAAATTTGACTATGCGCCACTGGATTAAGAGGTGAGAGCCGCTTAAATAGTGTATGGGCATGATACCTGTCAAAGTTTACAAAAGTTTAACATCCTATACCAAGTTTTTAAGATACAAACTACTAAAACATGAATAAAACTATACAAAACTAGCAACAAGGGGAAAGAATAAAACTTCAAACATACATGCGGCCACCTGACTACATTCCAGGTGGTATGGTCTCAACCTTTATCTCAGGAGCTCAGGTCCCCATGTGACATAGCAAAATTATATAAATATATCTACATATATATTCATCTACTCATATATTGAGGTATGCTTAATTCTTGTTAATGTTCTATTAAACAAGAAGTATAAAGCCGATATTTGGTGTGATGTGCAGAGCAACAAAACATCTTGCACATCTCTTGAACTCACAAATGCTAGAGAGTTGTCAAGTTAATATGATCTCGAGTATTTGTGCATTTTAATTACTTCCTCGTGTCTTTCTGAATCACTATGATATTGTTTAAGTTGATGAGACTAGAGGAGGAGTTAATGCCAAATTGGAGGTTTGGAGAGAAGTTTTAGAACTAAAAGGGTTTAAGATAAGTTGAAATAAAACTGAATATATGGAGTGTAACTTCAGTAAACCTAGAAACATAAATGATGATGTAGTGAGGATTGAGAATCAAGAGATACAAAAAAGTGAACATTTCGTTGTTTAGGCTCAATTATTCATAATGAGGGAGAAATTCGAGATTACGTTGAACATAGAGACTCAAGGCAGGATGGGTTAAATGGAGGAGCGCATTTGGTATAGGGTGTGATAGGCGCATCCCCTTACGATTCAAAGGGGAATTACATACAACAGCTACTAGACCAGCCATATTTTATGGTACTGAATGTTGGGCAGTTAGGAAACAACATTTGCATAGAGTGAGTGTGGCCGCAGAAATGCAAATGTTGAGATGGATGTGCGGTAAGACTAGAAAGGATAGAATTAGAAATAATCACATTTGGGGGATGATTGGAGTAGCACCAATTGCAGATAAAATGAGAAAAATTAGGTTAGGATGGTTTGCACATGTGCAAAGAAGACCTTTAAGTGCATCGGTTAGGAAAAGTAGTCCACATTGAGGGTAATACTAGGGGAAGAGGAAGACCAAAGTTTAAGTGGGTAGAGTTAGTAAAGAAAGATATGATAACATGTGGATTGACTAAGGCTATGGCCTTAAATAGAGCGGAATGAAAACATGGAATTCACGTAGCCAACCCCAAATAATTGGGAAAAGGCTTGGTTGTTGTTTTCTTTCTGATTCACTCAATACCCATTCCATCATAGTCTAGAAAGATAGTTGCAAGCAGAAAGTTCATTTGATAAGAAAGATCAAGAAAAATACTTTTAAACAGTAATAAGGAACAATAGAATGGTCAAAGACAGTTAAGTTCCCCTCATCATTGCAAAGCAAGTCCCCCATATGCACACAAAATATGTAAACCAAGAATAAGGAGTTGAAATTCATCAAAAAACTGACAAAAGAAATCCTGAATCAGAAAGAAGACACAATCATTCCATTACGTCCCCCGAAGTTAAGGGGGATGTGGTTAGATGATCGGGAAAAAAAATACAACTGATAGGATGCAAGAAATTTCATAATTAATAAATAAAATAAAGATTCTGGGATTTTGATAATTAAATGCATGGTGAAAGTACATACTCCAACTCAAATACACAAGCCACAACAAGAATCAAGGAAGGTGGTGGATAATATTGGAATGAAGACAGAAAACAGGCAAAAGAAGGAATTGGAGATCATAAGGCCCACAAAAAAGGAGAATAAGAAGAAGAAGAAACATTTCTAACAATACCAAAACACCAGAATTCAATCCTCAAATTACCAGTCATCCACTGCAAGAAATCCAGTAAGCAAGCCCAAAGTTTGATTATTTTCGAGCTCCGAAGACTGTTCAGCAACTGCTTCAGTTTCCAAGTCCAAAGCAGTAAAAAGATCTATTGTCACATCTCCTTGCTTCTCATCATCCATAAGATCCTTTCCAGTAGCAGCAAGATTTATTTTGCCAATTTTATTAGCCTGTACAAATAAGTAAAAGCCCCACGCCACATCAAAAAAATGAGTTTGTTAAATTACCACAATCCGAAGAAGCACAACAAAATACATGCATTAGTTAGAATACCACAGTTCATAGGAAGAAGATGAAGAAGAAAAAGATGATGATGATGATGATGATGATGATGAAAGCTACTATTAAAGCAGATATACCTCATCAAGTCGTTTAGCAGAAAAAATATTATAATGCTCAAATGCCTCATCATCCTTGGGAAGTAAATGTGCATATCTGAAACATATAAGAAACTTCTGATAACAGAGTAATATTACATTCACTAAAACAATTAATAATAATAATAATAATAATAAATGGTCAAGGATATGAAAAGCATAATCACTGAAATGACATGAGCAAATTTCACAAAACCATACTAAGCCTCCAGCAAAACCAAGATGAGGATATAGAAGAGTTGGCCATTAATCTCTAACAAAACTAATATTTTAAGCAGCATCACATATAATACTAAAAGACGCATATTTCAATGTTCAAAGGTGAAATAAATCAAACGTTCTTACCAAAGCAAACCACTGCTGAACTAAATTTTTGACTGTCTAAATCATTTTAATAAAAAGTGTTGTGAAGGATTTATATATTAAAGTTACACCCTCTCTAAGAGCTTAAGCTTTTAGAGTAGATGGTTATTAACATGGTAACAGAGCCAGGTTAGGCCATGTGTCAAACCTCACCGTCTCCCTGATAAATAAATTGAAACAAGTGTTAGACCAAAATAAGGCCACACATGTGGGGGCGTGTTGAAGGATTTAAATATTAAAGTTACACCCTCTCTAAGAGCTTGAGCTTTTAGAGTAGATGGTTGTTAACAAAAGCATTACAGCTTAATAAGCTTTTAGAGTAGATGGTTGTTAACAAAAGTATTACCTAATTTCAATCAAATCCGCTAAAGTATAAGCAATTATTTCAATATTATCATTTCTTGGAGTAATCTTTAAGGATGATTTTAAATCAGGAATTTAGAATTGATCCTCCTATGAAGTTTTTAACAACTCACAAAAAAATCAACCCACTAAACAAGTTTTCCTTTAGAGTGACCTATCTTTTTCTTCTTAAAGTAGCCAATCATAGTACATAATTTACAGGGATATGTATCACCATTGCTTAGCATCACTCAACCATATCAGCCAACTTCAGATTTAACCATTACACAACGAACCAAGCCGAAAGATACTGCAGGGGCTTCAAGGCTTGACCTTCCATCTTTAATAAGAACCATTATTTGTTCTAATGGATTAACATAATAAAATAAGTTGCATTTAGATAGAAGGAACATAATAAGATATTTCATACTTATCAACTAAAAGCCTAATTTTCTCAGATCTCATTTCGAAAAATAAATAAATAATAGTCTCTATTAGAAACCCAAAGTGAAAGGAACCTAAGTTGAATATCATGGATAAATGTTACGACATAAAGGTTGACTACATGAAAAATAATTCAAAAGAATCACCACATTACAAGGCCAGAGCGTGCACAAACACTCACATGCCATCAAGATCAATGAAGTCTTCCTTCACAAGCAAAGCTGCAAGCTTATAGAGCCCAAATGGTACTGGACAGTTGATTTCCATACGCTGATAGTATTGAAACTTGAAGCCAAGAATTTGTGAAGCATGAGACTGCAAAACATCAGAAATATAACAACAAAGAGGACTGATCCTTTGAGCATAACATTGCATAAACAAGTTAACAGTCAACGAGAACAACACAAATATAGTATATGTATTTACGTTACATAGATCCATACCTTAGGAAAAATGGGAATCAGGTCCAAGAAGACATCGTTATCTGGTTGAAGTTCAAAACACTCCAAAACCTGAAGCATTGAAACACTAATCAACAACTAAGAGAAAAAATTTTAAAAACATATCGTTAAAAATTAACACCAACTACAAGAAGTTGCAAATAGGCACGGCACATTAGTCAATATAATATAGAAAACAACTTACAATATCAAACACGCGGTTCGGATCCAGATCAAACTGTCCAATTAATGACTGCAAATATTGTATTATTTAGAAACCCTACAAGAAAATATAAGAAAGGCAATAAAATAAATCAGGTTCAAGTCAAAACCTTAATAATGCCAACTGTTGCCGCTGATGCATTTTGAGTTGAAGCTTCAGAACCCCGACAAAGAAGGGTAACCTAAAAATTCACACAAGTTAACAACAAAAATGAAAAAGAAAAACAGAAAGCCTGCTGACTTGACTAATTATATGACAAGACAGCTACAAGCATGATTGAAAACTACAGAAACACACTGTAACTCTCAATCTTATTAACTCAGGGGTGAGCATAATTCTTTAAGTAACAACTTTCAAAAAGGCAACTAAGATGGAAGGTCAAGCCTCAAAGGGCTTCAGGAGGATACTTTTATCGAGGACCTCCTATATACAGATAAGCATTGAAGCCGGTAAATAATTATAAGGACTCTCTCTTTACGGATAAGCCTTAAGATCCCTCGAGGAGCTCCTCTCTACAGATAAATGAAAGAACCAAAGGCCCTTGAGGAGCTCCTCCCTATGGAAAAACCTAAGGCCCTGAAGGAGCTCCTCTCTATGGATAAACTTCGAGGAAGAACGAAGACCCTTGAGGAAAAATCATAAGGATAAAGACTTGAAAAAAATGCATCAACGTCATTTCTTTCCCTAAAAAGCCTCTTTGTTCTAAAAGAAGGGTCACTATCTCAACAAAAAGAATAAATATTTTCTCCTCATCCGTAGATTTTATTGATCTTTTGGACTCCATAGGTCCTTAGGTCCTTCTTTCGCTTTTGTATCCGGGACGCGTTCCCCTTTTGAACGCTCTTCTAATCAATTATTACTTATCAAAAAAAAAAAATCGGTATGTAATGGATTACTAAAACCAAACTTCTCCAATAATGTTAGAGATAGAGACAAGGGGTCCAACCAGATACCAAATTAGACATATTTACAATAACCAAATAGAGACAAATTAAAAATTACACATACCAGCTTTGCATAGCCCTCACACTCTTCTCGGAGAAGGTTAAATTTTGTTTGCTGATAAAGAAGACGAGTGTTGACCCTGACCTGAAATCGGTAACACAAGGGCATTATAGATGAACAGCTAAAAAGTAATTTTACTCCAAACTAATTGTGTAGATCTAATTTATCTTAGTTATGCTGCCCAGGTGTAATTATTTGACTTCTCTGTTCGATGAGCGGAATAAGAACCATAGATTCACAATGATACATGTTAGATTTTCCAAATAATGATTACCATTTTTGTACATTCAAAAACACAAGTCTTTCATACGCACTTTATTGTATCCTCAGTTGTCACAATTGCTATACTAAGGCACAAATTACATCAACTGATGCATCAAAAAATTTCAAAACCTTAGACCAAAAGGGGGATGGTTATGAAGCGAAACAATGACAATTAATATGACAGGTAATATAATACAGAACTAGTTTGAAAGTCAACATTGCGATTCGTGACACCATGACTAAAGTATATAACTACAAGACTATGATCTGAGTACCTCTTAATCCTCAAAACATATATATATATATATATATATATATATATATATATCTATATATATACCTCTTTTGACTTCAAATCTGCAGCCTTTATCTTGATCATTTCAGACTCCCACAAAAATTCTTCCTGCAATGTACAAAGCATACAACTGAGTATGTTCTTTTCTTTCTTTTCTCCAGCAATTAAATATATAACGTAAACATGAAGAGCATTAAACAAGAACTAAAATTCACCTCACAGCGCTCCTGAAAATTCCTCAGTTGGACCAGCGCAGATTCAACCAGCCACTTTGCCTACAAAGAAATTAAAAAATGCAGCATGAGAATAAATACAGTATAAATAACTGAGAGCACAAAAAAAATTTGAACAAACAACAGATTATGGTATCCTGCACAGTCTGCACTTGTAAAATACTATCAGCATACGACGAGTCTAGAACGATATTTTTCGCAGCATGATGAGTTCATAAGAGGTTTGCTTTACAAGGACTACAGTTTCCTTTTCACTGGGGCTGTAAATTTACAGTATTGAAGCCCCTTTGGAATAAATTTTTCATTCTCCCTTGCTTTGTACTTTCCTTATTCTTTTCCTTACATATTCATAGTTTATATCATCAAAAGAAATTATTGAATAAAAAAAAAAAAATAAAGGACCAGCTATGATGATATTGAGATAGTTTAAATAGGAAAAAAAATATATATATATATATATATATATATGATTTGATTAAGAAAATCAAAGCCATGAGGCAGCCTTCTCCCAAGAAGTTAGAACTTCGTATTCCCCAGAGCCTAAGGTGCCAAGATTTGCTACATCTGAGTGGAACAATGTGAATCCATATATGACAAAGTGTTTTAATAACTTTAGCTGGGATTAAGAGGTTTCTGAGCCAAGTTGACCAGGAAGCATATAACAACTCACTAGTAAAAGAATAAACAATGGAAAAACAAACAATTTCACGTCGGTTCAACGGTATTCCAGATGGGAAGGATTCTGCAACTCTTTTTTGTTCTAGAATCTGGAATCATCTTCGGTGCTACATTTTGATTTAAGAAGGGAATCAACGGATAGAGACAATCTTAGTACGAAGCCTTCTATATGAACATAAAACTGATGTATTTAAAGGCTTCATAGAAAGAAAAGGTTTGGATTTCATTATCTAGGTTAGGTTTACAATAGCAGAGGGCTATTCTTGTGGCAATTAGTGTACCTGCATTAGGGTTTTCGCGAGGAAGACTAGGGTTTGCATGCATGAAGGAGGGTCAAACTTCTTCCTTGCCAGCGGCGCTTCTCTTCCCCGTAGTCATTCCACCCCCACAAGCCTCATTGAGGAACCTATTCACCAATTCTTCTCAAAATCCAATTGTGAACTTATCCTCCATGCATGACTGCCATCAAAGCAAAGTGGCACAAATTGAAGATGAGGATGTAGAGGAAGATATAGAGTATTGGAGAATGCCTGTCATTGGATACGTAATGGGAAAACTTTTCATCAGTAAGAAATGGGGATCGAAAGTGAAAGTGGTGCAATTGAAAATGGCTTCTTCCAAGCACAATTCGAATCCAACAAAGAAATGGAGAAAGTGATGAAGAGAGTGCATAAATTTGAAGGTATACCCATAAAAAGTCAAGCGCTGGAATAAAGATGTGAATCTGGAGCAAGACCACCTTGAATCAGTTCCTAAGTGAATCAAATGCCAATTTATGTCCAACACAACATTGCCATTTTAGAGGTTTGTTGACATCTGCGGCTAGAGATAGAGGGATATTTGCTAGGGTGATGGTGGAATTGGAGTTCGTGGGGACTTTCCTTGATGAAATTACAGTGTTCACCCATGGGGAAAGGATGTAAGGTTAATATGGAGTACAACTGGAAACCACAGGTCTGTTCTTACTGCAAAAGGGGTTGATCACCTTGTGGAAAAATGTCCATTGAAGATCCCAAAGTCTAAAACTGAGAAGAAAAGTACTGAAAAGTGGTTGGTGAAGAAGGGAAGGGAAGGAGGAGGAGGAGGAGGAGGAGGGCGGAGGGGGGGAGAGGGGGGGGACGGTCAGAATGATTTTCAGAAAGGCGAGACTAATAGTTTTTCTAAAGTTGAGGAAGCTATGGCCAACTCATTTGCTGCTCCGCAAGAATTGTAAGTGTAAGATGCCCAGGATTCTGGACACAAGGATAATGATAATGAGGAAGTTCAGAGGGATAACATTCATGTTACAGATGAGAATAATCATGATGGTAGTGTAACTGATACTGTTATTACAGAACAGCCTAATTTAGTCAGTATTATTATTGATAAATCCGGAGAAAAGTCGACCAGTATGCTTCTCGTAGGGATAGTGCCTCCCCCCTTCTAAGGACGGACAAAATGCTGCAATGTCTAGGGAGAATGAGCAGCCCCAAGCTTTAGTTTCTGGATTTGATTAGCCTTCACCTGATACGGGTAAAATTCCTTCTGGTCAGGCCCCTCCAGTTGAGGGAAGCAGGTCTCTGAGGGTAATAATAAGAAGAGTACAGTGCAATCTAAAATTCTTACTTCTGCTACAGTAACAAGGGCAATGGCAGCTGGTGGTGCTCATTCATCAATCCAAACGTGAGAAGATTGATTGTTGGAATGTGAGGGGCCTCAATAGGCCCAGAATGCAGAAGGTGGTGATAGATGGATTGAAGAACAAAATCTTCTCATAGCATGTTTGGTTGAAAGCAGAGTGCAGCAGAAAAACTTCAACAGAATTTCTCTGAAGATTGGTAGGAATTGGAAATGGTTTGGTAATTATAATGGAGCTGCTTGTGGTAGAATTTGGCGTGGGTAGCACCCAAACATGGTGGATGTCAAGGTAGTGGTAGAGGACACTCACTCAGTGCTGTTTGAGGTGGAGTTTATTCAGTCTCAGAAACATTTCTTTCTGTCTTCTGTTTATGCTGCTACAACTGATGTAGACAGAAGAAAGTTGTGGACTACTTGGCAGCAGCATTATAATTTGGCTCAAAGTCCTTGGCTCTCAATTGGGGATTGAAACGTGGTTAGATATCATAAGGAGAAAATTGGGGGGCTAAGAATAACTCAGAGAGTGATTGATGAGCTCAATTTCACTTTTGATTCAGTTGGTCCTTTCCTGTTGGTAATGGGGGTCGGACTTTGTCCAATAGCCAATTTACTAGGAGGAGGATATGTGCTAGAGTGCTAGAGTAAATAGAGGGTTGACAAACCATCACTGGCAGTATGATGAGATTGATGCTTGTACAGAGAGGTCAAAACCTCATAAATTTCTCAAAATTTGGTGTCAATTACAGGAAGTGGAGCAGCTGGTAGCCTCTGATTGGCAGGAAAATTTCATTGGTAGCCCTATAAAGAGTTGTCTCGTGTCGTTTTGGTGAGGAGAGTGGGGGCTGGTCATCTCTTCCAGTCACTATTACAGGAGGCATTGGTGTGTGGAAATTCATTCGGAAGGGCTGGGATCTTTTCTCCACTAGTCCACTCACATTAGATTCAAGGTTCGTGATGGCAGACATGTCCGTTTTTGGGAGGACCTTTGGTGCGGAGATCAGTTGTTGTCTCACTCCTTTCCTAGACTTTACAGTATTGCAGCCAATAAGCATGTCTACGTGATTGATTGTTATCAACTTGATAACAATGGAGTTACGTGGGATGTGCGGTTTAGGCGCCCCTTTCAGGATTGGGAAATGGAGGAAGCTTGTGTTTTTTTGGATACATTGTATAGGCAGAATGTTATTGGCAGAGGGTGTGATGATATTTTGTGGGTTCCTTTAGCTCATGGTAGGTATGGTGTCCGATCCATGCTCTTGTGTTTGTCCAATTTCGTTGGTCACGAGTTTCCTTGGAAGTTTGTTTGGCGTTCTAAAGCTCCTCTTCGAATCGCATTCTTCGTTTGGACTGCCACATTGGGAAAGATTTTGACTTTGGACAATTTGAGAAAGAGAGGCAACATCATTGTTAATTGGTGTTGTTTATGTAAAGCTGATAGTGAATCCATGGATCATATTCTTTTGCATTGTCCTGTGGCGTATGATTGTTGGAGCTTTATTTTTTGCATGTTTGGCGTTTTTTGGGTAATGCCTAAGCACTTCTCACAATTGATTAACGCTTGTAGAAGGTGTCCTGTTAAAGAACAAGCTCGTGCTTATTGGAGGATTGTTCCACATTGTGTCTGATGGTATTTGTGGCGTGAGAGAAATAACAGATCCTTTGAAGGAAAAGAATCGTCTTTAGCTAATTTAAAAATTCATATTCTTCGTTCTTTGTTCTGTTATGTAAGAGGAAATGGATGCTCCTCAATTGATGATTTCTTTGATCTCTTGGATTCTATTGGTCCTTGGATCTTTTTTCTTCTTGTATTAGGGACGCGTTCCTCTTTTTAACGTTTTTCTAATATATTTTTACTTTAAAAAAAATAAAAATAAAATAAAGAAGAATAGATGGACAGTTTCTGATCAGTAGGAGATAACAGCCAAGAAAGCTGGACGTTTTACAGTATACTTTAGTCCATGATCCTTTGAATGAAGTCCTTGTCGGAGACACTAGTAAGACTGAGGAAGTGGAATTTCTGTAATCTCGAGAAGATATTTTATGGGCTCAAAAGTCTAAAGTGAAATGGCAGGCTGACAATGATAAATTTACCAAATTCTATCAGAAGGTGAAGTAAAAGGAGGGCAGTGAACTTTATCACCAGACTTGAGGCCGAGGACAGGACTATCAAGGAATGGTTGGTGTACTTCGATGCTAAATTGTACCGAAGATATTCTAATGCTGCGGTAGAAGAGGAGTTTCACTTGAAACAGCCTAGGTTGTGCCTCTCCTTGGATCAGAAGACATCCTTAGAAGTTCCAGTCACTGAGGAGGAAATTAGACAGGAGGTTATGGGCTTCTCTCATGATAAAACTCCATGACTTGATAGCTTCCCAGCCAGAAATTTCCAAAGGTACTGGACTATTACAAAGGATGATCTTATTTCTGCCTTTGGCAATGACTGCAATCTTTTAAACCTTAATTCCTAAGAAAAATTATAGTTGCAAGATTTCAGACTTTAGACCTGTTTCCCTATGCAATACTATTTATAAAATAGTTTCAAAAATTATGGCAAATAGGCTGGGGAAAGTTTTACATCAGTGAATAGGGTTCCCACTCATTCTTTACTGCTGGGAGGGGTTTAAGGCAGGGATGCCCTCTGTCCCCATTGCTTTTTACTTTGAATTGAGAATATTTCTCTAATCTGCTTAAGAGAGATGATGTTGTGCAGGTCTGTAAAAATGTGGCTAAGGGCTGAGTATAAGTCA